AACGAGATTCATCAATTCCGAGTTGCTATACACGTAAACCATTTTTGACATTAACTATTAAAAACTATTGTAAACACTATCATAACGACATTAATACTAATTGTAAAATCGGATTTCAGTATTCCGTGACACTGCGGTCACATGGCTCTCCACGCGCAATTCATAAAGCACACAATGCGAATGACGCTAGAGACTACAGTTGTCCAGCGATGTAATGGTTGAAAGTACTACAACTTCAATAATTTTTTCTCTGAAAGTATAAGAATTAAATTTTTTTTTACGATATTGACTCCATTTTTCATACCGCATCTATTCTCAATTTTTTTTGGATAAGTTATAAATCGCCCTGTATACAGTGCTTTATCTTTTATTGTTTTATCGTTTTCGAGCTACGAAGCGATTCTGAATTTTCGGCAAAATTGACATAACCGTGTATCTCTCTTTTGTCGCCACATATCGTAAAAGGATTTAAATCTGACAATGCAATTGCTCTAATCAAATCGACCATGCCGTTTTTTACTCCTGTATGTCAAATTCGACAGACAACCCGTATAAATATTGCAGATAGTACACCATTCAAATAAAAACACACTGTATATGATGTAGATATTAATCTATCTATGCGAACGGTAGATTACATCTAGGAAGCAACTAGTCTCATTTGAAAGCGTGACTCATCAGTCAAAAATGAAGAATTCAATCTAATTGAGACAAAAGAAAAACTTACTTCCTCCTAAAAAAATTAAATAAGTAGTAGGTTACATTTAAGAGTCATCCAATATCGATTAAAAACGTGACAAGCCGCGAATTAGTTTTAGTTTCAACTTAATTGTTTGGGTTTTTTATTATTTTTATATTGGATGCAACTGAAACGCGTGGCCAAACTTCAATGACGAATTTTATGTCACAAATCAATAAATTCCTATAAACGTGTGCCTGAAAATTCTTCGTTTTAGAGAAATTGCAAAAAATAGATGAGAAAAGCCATAATTAATGAAAAACTACCGCGGAAAACGCTTGGAAGCCACGTTGTGACGTCATACCACTCGTTAGCGGCAGGCCTATATACCTACTTAGCTGGCTCCACATACATTATAATATGACATTTTAGCTGTGGAAGCGGATAAAAACAGGCAAATTTAAACTGTCAACCATAATTAAAAGAAAGTCATTACAAATGTTGATAACAAAAACAGATTGATTTCGTTCGAAACGTTAACTGTAATTGTAGACCTTGATGTAAAACGTAAAACTAAGTTATAAACTAAAAATAATGCTGAATAAGCCCTTTTTCCGCGGATCATAGGGACATGAGCCAAGAATTTTTCTGTAAAGCCTTTTACTTTATTGTTCTACAATAATAAAATTACTTTCAAAATTAAGTTTTTGTATATGTACAGGGTCGGAAAGTCCCCATGGTTCATCGGCCGTTACGTGAGAGCGATAAAGAAAGTCATAGAAATCCGTGCGATAGAGAAAGATGGCTATAATGAAGGCGTCTTCTTATTTGTGGAGGGGCGAAATGGGCGGTGACTATTAGACGCTTTCATTATAGCCATCTTTCTCTATCACACGGATTTCTATGACTTACTTTATCGCTCTCACGTAACGGCCGATGAACCATGGGGACTTTCCGACCCTCTATATATAACATTTGTGGATAGCTAGAAATTAAAGTTATCTAACATTTTAATGAAACCGCTTCAACCATTTTCGTGTAATTAAATAATTTTGTAATAAAAAAAGATTCTTTTATGATCCTTACCACCCCGTATCTCTAAAACGAAGCGTTTCCTATATTTTCTTGACTATAATCGCAAGCCAAATAGTGTTGGTTCAACTGTTACAAGTAGGAACGGAACACCTTTCATTTAAATATACATTGAATCGATTTTTGAGATTATACATATCTGCTAATGAGTGTGTTATCGTAGATCGTAGACAGATAGAACTCGAATCCGTATTCGAATTAAGGCAGAAATGAGAGTGGAATTAAATACAATCGATATTTTTCCATTTACACGGTAATTTGAACGGCTCGTAACACTTCTTATGTAACCACATTGTAACCTCAGATTTGTGATTGATACCTTAACAAATACTCTCAATAGCTATCAATTTCGAATTGGTAGTACATATTATTAGATTGACCTAGTTAGTTCTGAAATAAAATTTTATTAGATGTTTTTTTTTTTATTGTTAAGACAGGAAGATTTATTTTTCCTGAAATAAAGGTGACAACTGATTAAAAAATACCATTTATTTTCTTGGTTATTTTTATAAACACTTCTTTGAAGTCTTGTTATACGCTGACAATAAGTAAGCGAATGGTCAGTGTTTGCGTTTATTTTCACTTGGAGTGCTTATGAATATACAGGGTGTTCGAGAAATAAGTGTCGAAATTTTAATAACGTATTTAACTTAACTAATCATCGCTAGCATTTAATACTTAAACTATCAAAAAAATTTAAGCTAGTGTATCTACCATACAACATTCGTATACTTTACTTAGGTATTTCTTTAATAGTCCAATTAAATGGGCCTTTAAATCGCAATTTGGTCAACTTGGCTGAATTTTTGATATAAGTTAGTTTAAGGTATATGATAACAATAAGTGACAGTAATTTTTGTTTTCAACCACCGGTCCGGGGTAAAAGATAAAATAAAGGGGGTTTTCAAGATAACTTAAAAAGAGTAAGAAAAAAGTTCCTTATGAAAGTTGTAGAGCATACAATTCGATTGACTTTTTCTTGTGCTATTAAAATTAACAGAGTTAGAAGTTAGAGGTGGCTAGAAGTTATGCTAGAAGGGGGTGGCTAGAAGGGATGAAAAATTAAAAAATTCATTCATTTTCCTGCTTGTTTTTTTTTCAATCTACTGTAAAAATTGTAAACTATTTCACAGAGCGAACGTGATTTTTTATCTTTGTCGTAAAACAACATTTCGAATTAAATAATCAATCGAATGACAGAAAAAAATTGTATCATCATAAAAATTCACCATTAACAAATTGAAATTGTTATAACTTTTTTATTAAAAATTAAAAAATATATCGTATCTCTGAAAAGAAAGTTTATACATTTTTTAGAGTAGATTGAAAAAAAATTATAAAATTCATTCATTTTTCTGCTCGTTATGATTTTTTTTAAATTTCTGAAATCATCCCTTAACCTCTAGCCACTCCTAACTCTATTAATTTTAATAGTACAAGAAAAAGTCAATATACCATTTTTATGTAGAATTTTATGCTCGACAACTTTTATAAAAAAATCTTTCTCTAGCTCTTTTGAGTTATATGGAAAACCCCTTTAGTTTATCTTTTTCACCCCTGGCCGGGGGTTGAAAAAAAATTACTGTCTCTTATTGTTATTATATACCTCAAACTAACTTATTTCAACAGTTCAGGCAAGCTGACCAAATTGCGATTTAATTGGACTATTAATTCATAAACAGCTCGTTACCATTATTTGAATAAGTACAAAATGCTGAACAAATTGTGAAATTTCGAAAAGAAAATAGACAAGAATTGTTGCTTTTGATGAGCTAAATACGTAGTTCAAATTATGGCATTTATTTATGGGACACCCTGTATAAATGCGGTTATAAGACAAAGTTTGGCTAATCTACACTACGTTTCAAATGAACTGGTCTTTCACTTTGAATATTTAGGAGAAGCATATTATAATTAGAGTTCGGGACTCGGTCGGATGGTCATAGCCGTTGCGTCGACCTTTCGCTACAGCGCCACGTACGAAACCGGTAATAATGGCAGTTATTGGCTTCGCGTTTGCTTCGTGTATACATGTTTTAATATTCTAATAATGTCGAACGCGCCAAGGCGTAAAAAACGATCTTTCAATGATAAAGTACGCAAAAATATTTATTTTTATTTATACCTACCTGCTTATTTATTTGTTTACGACGAACACGCCTATGACTAGCCGACGAAAACCCCGAAGTCTAGTTATAATTAAACTTCAAAGTGATTTCTTTGAAGTCATAAAGTAGACTTTTTCAGTTTTCTTATTTTTGCAAAAAGGAGCATCAATAGTTCTTCTGTTATCATAAAACGTATTGAAAACTAATATTTTTACTAATATTAAAAATGGAACTAAAATAATGGTTTTCAAGCTTTTACAGCTTGTACTGATATTTAAAAAATGATGGTTTTTTAGCCTTAGCTGAGAATCTTTGATTAAATAAATTAAAATACCCTGATATATATGCAATCGGACAAAAACAACTCATAGCCTCCTATCGGTGAAGCATAACATTCACAGAATACTTTTGTGACATACAATGCTGTTACAGTTTTTCAAATAGGCAAATGGCAATAGTTTCCATCTCTTTTTTAATATTAAATCGCTATTTCTCTCAAATACCGGAATCGTTTGTAGTGATTTTCATATACATTTATTTATTTTAAATAACGCATCTTGGCTAATGCAAAGATAATTGTGTTTATAAGTCTAAGGATATACAAAATGTCTGCTAGCAGTATGTAACGTTTGTGCGGTCGTTATGGAACTTATTTGGCAAGCGGCAGAATTTTTTTTTAGTTTTTACTTATTTTATAGTGTTTTACAGCAGTTTTCGAGTTTTATGAGAAATTCTTCCACGCTGGATTTCAAATTACCGTCATACTGGTAGTCTGCAGTGTCTGCCTCTATTTTTCCATAAAAGTGCATATTGTAACAAGAAAATCGCACTTGAGTAGATCCGGTTAGGATCCACTTTTTTCCGATTTTCTTCAACTCCACCCCCCTCCGAAACCGCCATAAAGTTTTGTCTGCCACTATTTTTCATGATTCATGGATTTTTTGCCGCGCCATATCCTAGACTATATAGTAGACTTGCTAGTGGCAATAGACAAAACCCATCATCAGCGCCGTATAAGGGAGACAAAGTCAACCCTAAAAATTAAAACTGTGTGTGTAAAAACGTACACAACATACAAACAGCGTCTGTATAAACACATATTTTTTTGTTGCAGGTCCTTTCACCGCAGTAAAGTGGTGCGATGCTGGCAGGGGTGCCCCCGAAACCGACACGTTGTGACAGATGTTGAGGTGGTTAGGACCACGGAAGGCCCCGGAGCCGCCCGACGCCGGTGGTGGCGTAGCTGCAGTAGCCCAAAACGGGGAGGACGTGACGGACGACCCCTTGGCCGCCATCGACACTGGCCAGCGTCATCGGGGCCACAGGCAGATCTACTCCGTTAGCAGGTCAGTCTACTTGCCCAGGGTTTCACTCAAGAACACTGTACACGCTGCATCCCCTGAAAGTGGTGGAGGGTGAGTAGGTGTGGGTGCTTTAATAAAATTGATTAATACTATTATAAAAACCAGTAGTTTGGTAGATATTGGTGCCAAATGTGTATAAGATCAAATGACATGTCGTTTACCTGGAAATACAAGTTCTATGTAACAATTTTTCGAAGTAGGGGTTTTCTAATAACAAACTTCTGTGAGCTTGTTTCTAGGCATATTTTAATATTTAAGTGACAGGGTAGTATGTCTTCTAGTGGCCTGCATGATATTCTGCACGTACAATTTTGTTATTCGCTCATCTATTTAGTACATATACAAACTCGAAGAACCCCCATAGTCTAGTATCCATTAATGCTAAATTAAAACAGTAGATAACAAAATAAATATATACAAGCACTAACAAAAACTACATAAAATCTAACAATATATGGGTACACATGTCTGCAAGTGACCCATTTTAAGTATTACATCAAGAGCGCCAGTCTATCGCCACCCGGATCGGCTTAACAGTTGCAAGGACAAAAACAGACGCGGGACGCAACAGGGTTCCAGAAAGGTCCACGGCATATTGGCGCCAAGGACCAGAAGCTTATACCTACGACCGACTACACAGAGAAGACTCTCCAGCGAACGCTCGCCCCGACAACACGTATTCTTTTTCACTAGCTAGTTTTCAATAAAAATACTTTTATTTACTGTTGAGAGAGAGAGCTTTATTTGCTGCACACCGAAAGCAACCCTCAAATACGAATAACAAAAACAATAGTAGTCTCATTAATGCAGGTACTTATTTTATTTCACTTTTTTCATTTTTATCATATTTTAATTTTCAAGTGGATTTTTGAAAAGTTCTTAGTGATACCGAAAATTACTCTAAATATTGAATTGTAAGAGGGAATTGATAGAAGTGTTGGTATGTCTAAAGAGTAGAAGAAAGATTATAGTTTCTAAAAGGTCTATACGATACGGTAAAACAAATTTTCTTTGGGAAATAATGTGAGTCGGTTACTCCATTTACCAATTTAATCAATTAACTACATACATCGGTCAAGATTCAAAATTATTTATATCCCTGTGAATACTGATAGTCTCTAGGGAAAAACTTAAAAATCGTCTGCTTAACCCAGATATTTGCAATGTTTAAAGCAGCAGTTTACTTTGCTCTTATATATGTGAGGGGGACCAAGATTTGACCCTTGAGGTACTCCTGATGTTGCGATGGTATTACTGGGCGATAATCTGTACAAATCTACATACTGTGCCATTTTTGTTAAATATTATTTTAACTACCTATAACAACAATGTACCCAATTTACGCACCCCATCGACTTCAACTAGTATCTCCAACAAAATGCCACGATCACTCTTGTTTAGGGTTAATAGTATGTTCCCCTGAATATAAATTCTTTTTTTTTAATCAATTAAATGGTCGAATTATAATTAGTTTTGTGCAAAACTGTACTTGTCTTATCAACTTCGACGTCACCTGTTACATGAGTGTTGTGTAATAATGAAAAAGTAATATTAACGGTCTGTAGAAGGAAGCACAAAAACAAACGCTTAGGATGGGGCATTCTGGAAGGAAGCCTAGATAGTCGAAGAGAGGAGTTGAAGTGCGAACAGTGTGGAGATCGCTAGTAAGAAGATCGGCGGGCAGTGTGTCAAAGTAGTGAAAAGTTAATTGTTTAAAGTGTTATTAGTTAGCCGGTAATATTCTTTAAGTACTTTGTTGTTAATTGTTCTATGTAATCTTATGATTGTGATAGTTATAGATGTTTCATGATAATAATTCTTTATATGTTTAGCTTCCATTGCTTTATGCTCAAGGGCATATATTTTTCTAAGGTAAAATTGTTATAATTATTCTTAAAGATTGCTCATTACTTATTCATGTTAAAGTATATGTATATTGTCGTAGCTGCCAGACGTTGCAATGGCGACTTCTTTGTTTCACGGCGGCCTTGGTTGGCGGTTGTTTTGTATTTATATTTGGGTGGTAAGAGCAACGATCGTGGGTTTCTCTGCCATGCTCTTTCCCCACAGGAGCTCTAGGTGAGCCTGGCACTCTCATTCTATATTAAATGGTTGTTAATGTTTTTGTTGTTCTTTCTATTTGTCACATGTTTAATTTGAATTGTATGTAAATAAAGGTTAGGTGTATTTACTCTGCTTTTGTTTTATATAATTAAACCATACATCCCCTCTAAAAAAGTTAGTAGCCAGTGCCTTCCGGTCAATAAAAAAATAGATACACACAACGTATTTACACATCACATATTTTTGGCCACAACTACGTTTACTGATTTTTTGTCGAACCTGGGGTTGTCATACTACAGTTTTTAAAAAGCATTTTAACACCTGTGTACGCCGCTATTGTAATATTCATGTATTACAAATACATGAATTGTAGGCAACGTACAATGGATGTGAAGGAAGATAGTGTGGATGAACGGTGTTGAAGCGAAGGGCGTCATTTGTTGTTCCGCATTTTGAGACAGTACATCTAAAGGCGGGTATCCATTTGTGTCAAATGCCCCGTAACGTAACACCGAACATGTTACGTTACAGCTAGTGGAGACGGAAAATTGTTGCATGGTACGTGTAACAAATTTGACACGCGTAACTAATCCGGGACGAACCATCAGTCGTCGGTTTTTAGTCGTCGCATCAAAGGGATGCAACAGTACTTTCTGTCACATGTTGAGACGGGGTTACCCTTTTAACGTTGCTTATTGCACATATGATTTTGTCTTATTTTTGTTTCGTCAGTCTTTTGTATATGGTCTGCGGTCAGTCTGTTTTCTACAGTGACTAGGAAGATTTTGTTTTTCTGTGTTTGTGTAAAGAAAAGATTTCCGGAGATTTCCGTTTCTTAATCTTCAAAATTGTATGATGAATAAAAATATATGACGCTGCTGCTAACTGCAATTGCAGTGACGAATCCATTATTGCAGTCAGGTTCATACTGCGAGTTTATGTTACTGTGTCGTCTCTTAACCTTATTTTGTTACGTTACGGAATGAATGATTCGACCAAAACCACACATACTTTCGCAGCGAACCGTGTTACCTTTTGCAACAGCCCGTAACATATTCGTTGTTACGTTACGGAGCATTGACACAAAAGATACCCGCCTTAACTGTGAATTTGAATGTTATTCATCGCTGGAAGCCATCAACAGATTATTTATCTTTGTGTATTTCATTTATCATTATTGATTACTGCTTGAGTTTTTTGCTAGGTTACTTGTTGAGTACTGTTTGTGTGGCCAACAACCCACTCAACAAAAGTAACTCACGACGTATAATTGTGCATGTGCTGCGACTAAAGCGCGCCGTTATTTGAGGTTACATTAGCTTCTCCAGTGGCGGGGTAATTACTAAAAAAGGTTTAAAAACAATTAAGTTTTTATGATGGAATTAAAAAATAATCAGTAGATCTACTTCTATAAAATCCATGTTAGTATAATTTAAAATTTACTAAAGAAAAAAGTAAATAAAGTTACTATTAATTTATCAAATACACTGATTAAAAATAAGGTTAAAGAAAAAATTAAGCTTAGGGAACATTTTCTAGCTAAAACCCACGCTAGTTTCTTGTTTAAGAGCATTTTTGCCTTTAGATTCAGATATAAAATGGGGAATTAGATATGCACTTAAGTAGATTTAACATGATTTATGGAAGAATTGTCCTGCAAAATTATTTGGTTGTACTTGAGTTTGCACTTTTAAAATCATAAGCAGTATCGTCAGGTCCATTTTTTTATATGTTTGAGAAGTGTGAAGTATTGGATACACTTTATTTCAAAATTGTTATGAAATTTTCAGTACATAGACATTCACGAGACCAAGATAGATAATATGCACAGCTGTGAAAGAGTGCTTAGTAATCTTTTATTCAAATGAAAGCTTAACATTTTAAAGATTTCAAGTTTTGCTCAGCAATTTTTGATGAAAGTGCCTTGTTCTAAAACAACAAATTTAAGTATTTTACTAAAATTTGAATTTTCATACTGAAGAAAGTTGGGTATAAATGCAAAATGCAACGTGATCAGCAGCAGCGAAATTCGACAATGCAAAAAATGTCCGTAGCTGAAGAGGTCATCCGCTATTATGATGATGATGATGTTATCTGATGTTATCATGACATACGCCACAAGTTCAATGCCTATTGTCAGGTAAATTTGAAGCTATAAAATTTTATTTTACGGTTTTTGATTTGGTTTATTTTTTTTTTGTAGTTTTAATAATTTTGTTAAATTGTATATATGATTTTAATAAATTGAGGGTTGCTTTCAGTGTGCAGCAAAATAAAACTCTCTCTCAACAAGTGTTGTCGGAGCGAGCGTTCGCTGGAGAGTCGTCTTAGTGTGCAGTCGCTCGCAGGTATACGTATCTGGTCCTTGGCGCCGATCTGCTGTCGTCCTCTTCCGGGAACCATATCCCGTGTTGCACTTGTTTCTTGTGGTTTAGGCCGTTCGCGGCGTCATGCTGGCGCTCTTGACGTAACACTTAAAATGGGTCACTTGCAGACATGTGTACCCACAAATAATCAACTTAAACATAAATTGAAGTTGCTACATAGACATATACAAACTTTCAAAAGCTTTACTGAACAATTTGCTCTACATTCAGTTTTGTAATTTCGAGCAAACGATATATCGTAAGGAAGATTGAGATGAATTGACATAATGACATCAGTTACTAAATATAACACAAAACAGTATAATCCTGTGAAGGTTTTCCTATCACCTTCTGAAGAAAATGAGGTTACCAATCTTTGACTCATTATAAATACCGGTATATTCAACTAACATGGCTTAATTTCGGTATGAACAATTTAGTCCCACTTTAATAAGAATTATTCGAAAACAGAATTCAGTTTCGACAAAAGGGCGTTGCTAATATAAAACATATGAGAATACACTGTTGGACATAGGTATGGGCCAAGTAAAATTGTTCCATAAAGCAATAGTGTTAAGAGGGGTATACACACACTCTTCATCAAAACATAAGTGGCATAAATTATGCAATACCATTTAAATTATCTACAAAATAAATCATCGTATTATATTTTTCATTTATTTTGTTGGTTACATACACCTATGTTTGTGTTGTACAGAGCACTATATACATTTTTCTTCCTGCATTGTTTCACAAGACCGATTACCTGTTAAGATTACTACTTAACTATACATTGGACATGGGATGTCAAAAGAGGTAAACTTGTACTACTGCACCAGAGCTCCAAGACGTCAATGTCAAACACGTGAGATATTTGTTGTGAAAGCTCTTGATAAAATCTAATATGTGGTTCTAAAAATAGTCATGTTTAGTTTCCGTTTCCTCATGATCTCATTGTGTTTTAAAAAAATTCATTGCAGATTCCTGTGATTTCACTAAAATGTTGGTTTTAGTAAATATGGCATTGTATAAAATATTCAGATCTTATTATAATCAGTTTAAAAAAAATGTTATTTATATTTAAATTTTATCAATACACAAACTGATAGTTGAGTACTTAAAAAATCAATAACTTTTTAGGTATAATGTAACTCTAAAGTAGAATGCATTAAGAATTAAAGTAATATAATTTATCGTAAAATAGATATTTTAACAAAGAGGTTATGTAATATTTTAATGAATGTAAGTATCACCATATTTTTTTTAAGAAATTTTAGACTACACTAATCTAACTTTTTGAAAAATATTGCAACTGCAAATTTTCAGTTAGCTTTTTAATTAAACATGATTCATATTTAATACATACAATAGTATTCCGAAAATTTACAAATAAATGAAATATTACATATACAAGTGTGTTTAAAATATGCTTAAAAAATAATAATAAAACTCGAAAACATGTTTTTCCAATAATCTGTATATAACTATAAGAAGAGCGATGATAGAAATAAAAATAAAAATATTGAAATATCGATTTAAAAAGAGGATGGTTCTTATTCATAAATAAATATTTTATATTGTGTTTAGTAATCTATTTAAAAACATTTAAAGTTTGTTTGCTAACTTATATTTGTTTATAGTATATGTCACATATTGCTCATACGAAGAAGTGATAATAGCAACGATTTTTAAATAAATTGTTCATAATAAGATTGACTTCTTACAGATGTTTTGTTCTCAAATAAGAAATTGTCTCTATTTTCCTTTTTAGCTAAAATGTTGTACCGCTAAAAATCAAGATTTTAACATTTCTATAGGAAAAATATTTTGTATTGTTAATTTAAAATGTCAAGGCTCGCATTAATCTAAAATACATGAAGAACTACTGTTTAGTGAACAATAATAATTATATCGCAGGATTAGATATTACTATTTATAGCACAAAGAAAATTATTTACTTATGTAATTAAAAATTCCTTATATTTTTTAAGGAATTAACTTAAATGAATAATTCTGCAGAATGAGGAAATTGTTGAGTGACCTAAAACTGATAGTAATTTGTGAAAATCGTAACCGAAAAATTAACTTGTTGCAAAAAGCAAGGTGATCAGTACCAAATTTCATTTAATCTGAGAACTAGAAATTGTTTTGCTACCTTTTAAATTATTTTATATGCTAAATCTTATTAGAGCCTTTGTTTTATTTGAAAGCTTTATCAAATAATAATATTGTACCTGTATGTTCAATTTTCCCTAAGAGACAAATAATTGTTAATTTTAATTAGAATATTATATAATTTCTTCGTGTATTAACTACTTTGTCAAGACTCTTAAGAATTTACTCAACGTACTTATATAGATAGCCAAGGAAATAATTCACTCCTCTAATTACTTACACAATTCTATCGCCATGACGACTAGGAAACACAAAATAAAGTTTATTTCATTTCAGTTAAATTAAACGTCAACAGTTATGAAAGTAAACAGAGCGTGACATTCGCAATTAAAACAAACAAATAAAAAAAACAATTCTGAATACGTAAAGCATCGCTTTTAATAAGTACGATTTCGAAATAAGAAAAATGATCTCGGAAGTACGTTTAACATACAATTATATAATTTTATTTTGGACAAAGATACTCACGATGTGCAGCCATAATTGTCTATTTCTATTTTGGGTTAAAAGAGGAATTATGCTAATTGAAATATAATGTTACATTTCTTTTTATCGTATTTTATGTTGTTCCTCTACAATTCAACCCTCAAACCACTACCATATCGAATATTTTCTAGAATAAGTCAGAAATGATTCATATTTTCAAAAATGATATGTGAGTCAATATCACGAGCATAAAATACAGTCGCGTGTTCTAATCCTTAAAATATCTCTTATGTAGATTTATACAATACCTACTACTTAAGTATGTCTAAATCCCGCCATTAAAAGTAGGACATCTTGCACATTATCAATATCGAAAGCAGTTCATTTTAGAATTGTGCAAGACTTATTCACGCTGAAGAAGTTTAGAGCAATAACCTGTAGATCACTGATAAGTATACATCGACGAAATTGCATAGATATGAACGTATCCATGCATTTAGCAATAGTTGCACGTATCAGAATCAGATGAAATGTTAAGATGTTTAAATATAATAACCAACTTCGTTAGCTATCCTATATTTACATTAAACAAATATACTTGAAGAATCTATGATAATAATTGAATTCATTAATAGTTTACTTAATAATTATATTATTAAAATACTTATAGACAAGGAGAAGACCTCGCATTCGTGGGAGAAATTTTCCGACTCGATTTTTTTACATATTCAGATTCGTGAGATATTTCTTAACATGAATCAAGATGATACCGGTCGGAAATTTGTGCCCATTTGTTTAAACAAACTTTTTTTTAAACAAATTGTAAAAATTGTTTTTTTCACTCTTTAGGGTTTTTGGCGCACATTATAAACAAAAAAGTTCCTATACACTATGCTTCTAAAATTGATAGTATTAAAGTTATAAACAATTTAAGTGGCTAAAAATGCGAAAATGACGATTTTCAACGGTCGATCTCCGGGTTAAAAATACAAGATGTTGAAGTTTTTGAGACTCTCATTATTTTAAAGCCTTGTTTTTAATTGTGAATAATGCGCTATAAGCTTCTTTACAAACGTGCATATGGAAAAGTTCCATTTTTCCTCAATATTTGGATTTCACAGCTTTTGGTTATCAAAATGAAACAGGTGAATTATTACCTTTTATTACCAAAGATCCATTATCCAAAGACTTAGTTAAACAATGTAAATGTACAAAAAACTGTAAGACTAAAGCTTGTTCTTGTAGGAAAAACTATGTCACTTGTGTACCTTTTTGTGGTTGTAACAGAACAGTGTGACAATTCTTATGATTGAATAAATGTGTGATAATAATCATATGCAGTATTAAATACATGTTCATTAATAAAAATCAAATGTATTTGATACTATTGCCCTTTTCTTTTTTTCTGTACTCTATTTACAATTTTGAATTAATTGAATAAAATTATTATGAATTATGAAATTTAAATAATCAATTTTTACATTATTTTATCAGTAGTAATATTACTTAGAATGCTAAATTCAAAAAACATAAGCTGAAGCCGCTAAACGAAATAGCGAATCCGCGTATGAGAGAGGCGCGCGCGCGGCTCATAGCGCTTTATTAACAATTAAAAAACTCTTTAGTATCTTGTAGGGGGATGTCTATACTTTAATTTAGGTACCTGACAACATCAAAAATAACAATTTTTAACCCGGAAATCGGCTGTTGAAAATCGTAATTTTCGCATTTTTAACAACTTAAATTGTTTATAACTTTAAAACTATCAATTTTAGAAGCATAGTGCATAGGAACTTATTTGTTTATAATGTGCCAAAAAACCTAGAAAAAAAATTTCCAGAGTGAAAAACCAATTTTTACAATTTGTTTAAAAAAAGTTTAACAAATGGGCACCAGATTTCCGGTCGGCATCAGCTTGATTCATGTTAAGGAACATCTCACGACTCTAAATATGCAAAAAAATCGAGTCGGAAAATTTCTCCCACGAATGCGAGGTTCTCGCCTTGTATATTACTCAAATCAGTTCACAAGTCCTCCAAAATGCACAAAGATGATGGTAATTTACCCGCTCCGAAAATTTTACCGAAAAAATGCGTTTAATTTTTTTATCATAACTTTTGTAATTTTAAAGTTATAAATTTACTCAAAAAACCATTTTATAGGGAATTTAAAGCACTCTAAGTTCTGTGATTTGCAGTTTTTTTAAGCCCTTCGTTTTTTAGGCTGAAGATGTTCTGGTATGAGTTGATTACTTTTAGGTGTGTGTGATTATCAAAGTAAAAGCAGTTCATTGGTTATTAAAGTTATTTCATATTTCCTATTAACTCTGATAGTATTCAATTTTATTTACAGCCCAAAACTAAAATTAACATATTTTCTTGCATTTATTGACATATTTATCGTCTCAATTCAGTTTTGGCTCTGTAAATGAGGTTTAAATACATGGAACTGAATTTTGCATGTCATTTTTCAATTTTGATTTAGTTTTCTTCTACTTAAAACGTTATTTGCTAATAATGCTGCTCATTGCTCAAGCTTATTCTACGAACACCGTTGTATCAATAAGGCTGGATTTGTTGATAATCAACACTGTCATCATTAAAAGATTAAGTTTTTATTTTTAAATGAAGGAGTTCATAAATATCAGCAAAATTATTTTTGTCATTTACTAATATATTCTGTTCTCTAGGGTAAATCCACTCTTCGTCGACGGCGCCGACAACTCCGCTCAAAACAATAAGAAGTTAGAGCTAGCATCCCGCCAAAGTTCGCCTGGAGAGAAGTTTAGTTCATCTGGGTACGAGGGTAGCAACGACAGTTTGGACCCCATTTACCAGGAACAGGAGAAGCTTAGGAATGATTCGAATGGAATCGTCGAACAAAATCCGACCTATGTCAAATCGATTAAAGTTTCGGGTCGTACCACTAAAATCAACAAACCTGTGCCATCTCATTCCAGCTCTTCAGGTGCTGGAACTCTGACTACCATACCAGAAGGTAAAGTAGATTTGCCGGTCCCGAAACCCATCTGGCCTCTTGACGATAAGAAGTTGTTGGATCAGTACGATTCTTTAGTTGACGATGCTTTGTTACTCTACACGAGTTTGAATCATAATCCCAATAAAGGAAAAACATTAGAAAATTGCATCGATTTGTCTGTGAAAGAGCTTCTGGTAGAATTGTTGACTAGCATCGACGCTACTCTGGAAGGTAAAAATGGCACACCGCCGGAAGACATGCTGAAGATTATCAACGAAAAGATTAGGATAAAATTAGACACGCTTAAAATCTCGACGGAAGAGGAGATGAAGAAGTTATGTGTCAACCTGAGTAACTGTAAGAAGATGAACTCGGTGTTAAGGGCATTTAGTAATTCTTCGACCAGTGGGAACTCAAGCCAAAGTTTTCCTGAGTGGAGCAACAACAGAGTAAGGACATTATCTTCGGAAACCGAAGACATTTACCAGACCCCTTCGGGTTCGTCGAGTAGTGGTTTTAGTGATTCTTTGAAAGAACGAACTAACGTTTTACCGGTATTTGTTCACGAGGAATTCTCTAGTGTTCCCAACGGTGTTAGAAATGCGATGATTTATGGGACCTTGTGCAGGGCTAAAGCCTCCAATTCAAACGATTTGTTGCTGAGTAAGTCTAAGAAAACCATCACCTTGCCCAAGAAGAGTTTACTGAAGGCTGTGAATGACAGTAAGCCGAGTGTTTGGGAGCAATACTATGGGGTTAGAGCTGCCGAAGGATCAGATGTCAAGTATGTGACCAAACCTTCGGACGTTCCTCTTTTTGTAAGTAAAAATCGCTCTTCAGTTTGATTATATAATGTTTACTTAGATTCGTTACCTCATGTGCAATCAATGAGAGTTGCTTATGCCATGCCTTTCGAAATTTTATGTAAGTTTAATACTACAAATAATTTTTCTCGCGTTTATTTTAATTTTACAGCTGGGACAACTAATCTAATAATCACAACCGTAATAATTGAAAAAAATTGATAGGTAAATATTAAGAAATCTTAAGTAACTTTATATTTCTTCATAGTGTATCAGCAAAATGTTTGTCACTTTAACACAATTGTAAAATTTCACAAACTTCCGCGTAAGTTTTTCTTTCATTTGGGAACACAAGATGTCGTCACTAAAATCACTGTACCTACTAATTTTAGGTATTATTCTTTCATCTTTTCTATTGCACTTTCTGCACCAAACCGTTTCTTTTGCAGGAGCGTAAATCTTTGGTTACTAATACCTAAAAACAGGAAACTTTTACATAGATGCGCAATTGGTGGCAGTTAAAAAACCGATTTACACACAGGCACTGGTAGTACTGTTGGAACAAAAAAAAAACAGTTAACAAAAGACTATTAATCCTTGGTTTTCTTTCCCATATACCTACAGTTTAAGCTTTCTGCATTGAAGCATTAGTTTCAAGTGTATAAATCTTACTGTACCGATATTGCCGTTATTTCTTGTAATTGTTTCTGAAGCGAAATTGAAAGAAATTAGGGAGGAAAGGTTTTTAATGAAATATTTGCATTTTAATAACGGATCATAGACAAAATTGGCATACACCTACTTGTGCTTTAACATTTACACAATACGGGACAATTAAATAGTTTTATGGTGAATCATGATCATGAATATATTTTGCAATGGATGATATGCGAAGAAAATTCTTATTAAACAATTTAAACAAACAGGCTTACATAACTTTCCCATAAATTTAAATACATATAATTAAACGCATATAGTTACGTATACAAGAGGATAAAACTTCAGCTTGTCCATATTTTAGAAGTAGTCAATAATTGGAATTCAATTTATGTGAGTTTTAGTGCATTCTGTTAAATACGATATTGACAATAATACACTTTTACGGTTCACTATGTCTACATTTTTTTTACCGAATTACATCCAAGGCAAATCAGCCCTGAGGACAGTAGCAAAGCAGTGGATTGGGGAAACTATACCTTAACTAAGGTTTCCTTTTTCCTGCATCTCCGTCCGTTTGTTTGTAAATATTGCAACATTAGTCCACGGACCACATCAATCTGGTGTTAATGGAGTAAGAAAATATGAAAATATTTTGCTTCGATAATTTGAAGGAAAAATGTATTGATATGTTTAGCGCTATTATTAAAGGTATTACTCGTGTTCAAGGGTAGGTCACATCAGTTAGTTTATTTCAATAGTGTAAAAATGTAATGGAATTTAATTTTATTTGTTTGTATATTGTTACTCTGTTCTACAGAACAGGATGGTAAAGAGAAAAAAATTACAGAAGAAGCATTAAAAAAGAAAAAAAAAACAACAATTGATAAGTATAATAAAAAAAATCGTGCTTAAAAACTAATTTGATATTAATATAAAAAGAGAGCATCAATAGTTAAAAATTGCAATTGAAAAAATAGTACCTATTCAGCTAAAATACAGTGATTTTAATTTGGTAGCGCTGGACTAAACGATAATAAATTACACATTGTGTAAATATGGTAGGTGAATATTTAAATATATTTGTACGTGGCGTAGAAATATAAAAAATTTTCTCTCTTGAATTGACCCTCAGAATTTGGTTATTCAAGATTTTTCAACGAATGTCGAATAGTGGAAAACCAATAGGTGGAAAAACACCATTTACCTTCCTATTTTAAAATTTAGATATGTAACAAATCTTCGATATTCTGTACAAGTGAATTATAGTGGGGAGACCAAACGGGTGTAGCATATTCAAGCTTGAGATCTAACAAAAAAATACAATGTTTTTAGCGTGTTTATTTGGACAAAATTTGACTATGAAACTATATGACTTACAAGATTCAGATATTATTTTTCAATGTGTGAATTGAACTTATCATCAAAAATAGCATCGAGATCGCAAAAAGTGTTAGTTCGAGTAAACACCGCTAAAATTATAGTCAATTATTATTTTTGTTGATTTTAAAGTGTAAGATATTATGCTACACTTACAGCATTCAAAGGAAGTCTATTCAATTGGCATCACTTATCAATTTGAATCAAATCATTTTGAAGATGTATACAATCGTCGATGTTTTCAATGGTTGAGAATATCTTCAGGTCATCAGCATAGAGAAGGTAATTAATATCTAAGCAATTGGTTATATCTTTGATAAAAATGTTGAGCAGAAGGGACCAAGAACAGATCCTTGCGGGACTCCAAGCGTGACTAAGTAATCCACAAACTTACACCCTTTAAGTGACGTATTGAAATCTATTTGACAAATAAGATTCAAATAATTGCAATAGGGAATACGAGAGACCAAATTTGTTAAGCTTTGATAGTAATATTTCATGGGTAAGTCTGTAGAATGCCTTTCTACGGAAAAACGTGAAAAAATTGATAGCAGCAATCTGACGACGGATCTTGTAAGGGGGGGGGGATAGTTAATGAAAAATACATAAATTAGTACAGCCAATTTTGCCCCCACCCCGAATAAACAATGGTCAATGTAGTCAAAATGAGGTTTTTCTCAAATACAATTTTTCAGAGGCAAAATAGAGAAAAAGTTAAAATTTCTTTTCTTATTCATTAAAATCGGTGCATGATTTATCGAGATAATTGCAAAAAACATGCATTTTTGCAGTGTTTTTTAATTGTTAATAGCTTTTGCAATAATGGTCATAGGCGAATTTTAATCTACTAAAGATGAGGGTATTATGACCCTTTATATGTGGCCACAAATTGGGCCCAATCGGTGCAATAGTTTATGAATAATTGCATTTGTTTATCCCAAACACGATTTTTTTAAACGATTGAGCTAGCTCAGTGAGTGCATAAAAATCAATTTAAACGCCGGGAAATGATAGTTAAACGTCTGAAAATTATGTTAAAAAAAAAATCGATTTTTTTCAATTTTGTTGTATTTTTTTCAATGCAAAAAAGGTTTTTTTTTTATATAAACAAATAGAAGTAACTCCGGAACTACTGGTCTCAGGAACACGACAGTCATATCACTGGATAGCTGGTAAAAAAAAACAAAGATTTAAAAAAAATATGCCCTACGCCCTTTCTGGGCCGAGATAGCCCTTTTTCTTAAATCACAGCTCCATTGTTTATAAATATTAAGGGCTAAAATTAATGCTATTTATGCACAAAGGTCTAAACTTTATGATACATTCAACTCCACGAAGATTGACCATTGTTGGAGTGGGGGCAAAATTGGCTGTACTAATTTATGTATTTTTCATTAACTATCCCCCCCCCTAACAAGATCCCCTCGCCAGATTGCTGCTATCAATTTCTTCTTGAAATCGCTCTTTTTCCCGTAGAATGACTGGCCTACTTCAAAAAGTCTCGCCTACTTCAAAAAGTCTCTGTAAACCACATCTCTGTTTGCAATTGTTTATCAATGGATTCAGCTACAAACTATGTGAATGTTATGAGGTTAGACTGTGAAGTAAAAATACTGAAAGATTTTACTGAAATTACAGAAAATTGAATTTGGGCGAAAATTTGATATTCTGTTTATTTCCTTTTTTGTAGATGGAGCAAACTTTTGAATACTTCCAGATATCTGGAAAAGTACGTCTTTGAACACAAATTAATTAAAAAAGTATGTGGCACAGTTTTTTAAAATAAAAGCTGGTATACCATCGGGCCCTGTTATTATAGTAGTAGGCAAGAAATTCACTTGCACTTCATTAAACTGCATTATATGCAGTAGAAGTTAGATTTAGATTTAAGTCAGAATTTCTCGCAAATGCCAAAGAAATCCGCAAAGGCATTTGTTACGTTGTTGGGATTATTCAATTGTTCGCCCTCGTACAACATACTACTTGAAATATTATTAGATCCTCTTTTCTTCTTAGTAAAACATCAAAATTTATCTACTTTGTACTAGTTCCTTGGTATTTTCACACAAGCTTGTAAATTTAAACACACATATGAAATATGGAAAGTGAAAGGGCCTAGTAAAATCTGAATATGAATACCCCCTGATCTCGACTCGTATAGGTATAGCAACAATTAAGATTGGATAGATTTGTCATAAACAATAATGGCCTTATTATGAAATATCGTTGTGTGTGTGATAGGATATGATAATTATTACTTAGCTGTTACATCACGCATCTAATTTTTTTTTGATTTCATGTTGACCATATCTTATATGGCCTTAAGTGATTGCAAGTTTTATTGAAAAAATATTCTGACGTTTGACCTTCCCCGACACTTTCTCTAGTTATATACCACAACATTTTATAACAATATTTCATAGTTAAAACAGATTTATGGGTTTATGAAATTGTATCGAAAAGTGAGGTAATGACTTTTGCAGTTTAATAGCCTTGTCTTGTATAAAAACGTGAAATATTGTTCCCAGTAAAATAATTAGGAAATTGCACGTGTAATCGCCGAAGCGATAACTAATTGGTGTGAAAATTGTTGCCCCGGCACTTTCACCATATTTTTCAGAGTTAATTCAATAATTCCATGATTATACATATATGTTCAAATTGCAAAATATTATGTATTATGTATCATCGTTAAAAACAGCAAGTGTTAAAATATAAATATGCATGTTATTGTTAGATTCGCTTCCTTTTGGCTAAAGTGTATGCGTTTATAAGCACGTACAAGACGGAAGCAAGGTTGGCTGTGATACTGTGATAAAAGCGTAAAATGGACAGTTTAAATGTAAACGTGCATATCGCAGGAGAAATCAATTTATCGGCGTGATGAAGATACCATAAAATAGCGATAATAATTATTCTAACGGGGTGTCTCGTGAGTCTCTCTTAAGTCTTAAAGTTATTCAAGTAAAAAAGCAAGG